GCAAAAACTAAAAGTGACCTGGTGGCAGTGACCCAGATTAACCTGGCTGACTGATGAGTTTCCTAGGTTGACCCCAGGTCAGCCAAGTTAATTCAAGTCACTGCCAAATTGGGTTAACTAGAAACCCAAACCAATGGAGAGGCCGATTCATAGGTTCATCGATCAACTCAGCTAGTTAGGTCTGGTCTAGGTTTCCATTCCATACTAAATTATGGATTAATTCCAGTTCTATCAAAACCATATGGTCCAAAATAAGTCTTTCACTAAAACAAGTTAATGAGTCATAGGAGATTACATATGAAGATATCACTAGAAGTTAGTAATGCAAGCGACATGAAGTTCACACACTTTTGGCATAAGTGAAAATGCGATAACTCGTCAAAAACCAAATATTGTGTTGCTTAGTTGCTAATTATTATGTTGCTAAAGAGTCTTGATTGATATTCTCTCTTTCTATTTTGTTCATGCGCGATTATTGTTAATTTGTTTCTTTTAAGTAATATTGCATTTGTAAGGTGCTAAATTTACAGATTGGGATAATCTTTTGTATTTTTCGTTTTTAGTTTTTTAGACATGGAAAAAACTTTTGAAATTGGAAGAAACAAAATAATGTTAAAATGTTGTTTGGCCCCTAGATAGCATAAATGATGCTATGTCCTTTAAAGAATATGATATTTATCAATTGAGGAAGAACAATGGCTCTTGACTTCTATTTTTCAATTGTATTTCAATTTCAAAAGAATTGATTCTGACACAATACAGATTACGTACAGTCAGATATGAATAAAATGTGAAAATAGATTCTTCCTCTAGGAAATTAAGAGTTAAAAGAAACGAACATCATGGCATAAATGAATCAAAGGACATTACAATCTTCCTCTGTTGATAATGATATTTCACTTCTCTGATCTCAGTTTTTCTGAGAATTACGTATCTCTCTTTCTCAGCTTCAATTCTCCCCTCTCTGACTTTGTACATAGTTGCTAGTTTCCCAGGTCATTTGAACATTGATGATAACAAAAAAAAAAAAAAAAACGGGTAAAACCAATCAGCCAAAAACAAGGCACACACAGATTCAACATGTGAAATGTGATGACTCTAATTAAAACAGTAAATGATTATGCAGTGGCAGATCTAGGACCCGAGCCAGTGGAGGCAGAATTATTTTTGGTATAACACAAATGATATATACTTTTCACCGATAGTGAAATTTAATTTGCCAATGTATAAAACCATATAAACTAGATTTTATTATATGTGCAAGAGTTGATATTTGAATTTTGACTATTTATTTAAATAATAATTAATGAAACCCCTCCCACATATAACAACGTGATTTGCTAAAAAAAAAAATTAAACAACAAATTGAATATATAAAGATCAAAATTATTTTAAATTATACAAATGATTTTAGCAAAAATCTAGAAAAAATTTAAAATAAAATAAAATAAATGATTCCACTAAAAATATAAGAATTAAATAGTTTCAAATAAAAGTCGCCATAAAAAATAATCACTCATAATACTTCAATTATTTTAAAATCCCAACTATCTTTACCCACTATTCCAAATTTTCATAATCTTACCATCAACTTCACTCCTCCTAATATTTTAAATCTAAACTTCAAACTAATTATACTTGCTTTCCCTCTAACAAATTTTGCAACCCAACCCCTCACTTAGATCTAGATGATTGTTATTTCTCTCTTCCTCTTTCTTCCATTTCCCTTGTTCTTCTCTCATTCAGTGGGTTCAAAACTAACACATCAGTGCGGGAAAATTAAAACCCTGTTCATGCTTACATAAGGCATCACAAAATTGAGGGGGGATCAATTGCCTACCCTCAAGTACATTTAGGTCTACAGAAGCTTTTGCCTCAAACATGCAGACACGGAACTAAAAGATAAGCAAAAAAGAAAAAACAGCGCATGTAGAATATGACAAAATGGTGATAAAAAAAGCAAAAGTCAAGAGAATAAAGGGAATCTGATGTAATTATAGCACTACCAGTGTGATTATATGTTGGATGTGCTAGAATCAGATCAGATCTGATTATAGTCTGTATCAGATCAGATTTTATCTTCTATATCAGATCTGATTCTATCTTCTGTATCAGAATCAGATCTGATCCTCTTCTGTCATCATTTGTTTTCAAGGTTTCAAGATTATAGGAGGAATTTAAGTGATTTGTTTTGGTTTAAATTTCTTCTCTCTTTTCTATATATGTAATCGCACCATGTGAATGTAAATCAGAGCTGTTTCATGCAAATTATTTCACTATATTTCCCAATCATAGGACATGGCACAGGTTATACAATTCTACACTATCAAATATATCAAATAATAAGGTATGATGTGTTTCTCAGGAGAAGAAATCAACTATGTGGGGAATGAAAATATGATCAAAGTTGCCAAAGTTTAATTAAAGCTTGTTTTTTCTGTCCTTTTGTTCTTCAAAACTTATCCAGATAGACATACCAAACCCCTAGCTGTAAACAGAATCAAGAACATAATATGATAAGACTTAAGGTTCCCTAGAACAGAAATCGAAGTCAATGAGCAATAATTGAGAACCATCCAAGAGTCAGTAAATGAGATTAAGTGCAACAAAGGAAGAAAGGAACAATGTTAGGTAAAGACTCAAAAATTCATTTGCTAACAACATAAACAGCTAAGATGAACTAAAAGTGCACTTTCAACCTTTTTACTCATAGAAAAGTTAGTTTTTTTTTTCTTGATATAATAAAAAAGTGAGATGCACCTTCTTTTCTACTTTAAATAATAATACAACAACATTAAATACCTTCATGCTAATAAAGAAAGGATAAAATTGAAAAAAGTGGTTTAATTATTGCAAAGTGTCCTATATTTTAGATAAAAAAAATATTTTTAGAATGTCTTATAAATAGAACTAGAGGGAGTAGTTGGTAAATTTCAACATTAACACAAAAAGTATAACATAAATCAAGATTAAAGTATCTAACCTTATTTTATGGTGCTGAAAAACCTCTAGCCATCATTTCATAAAGAGGAATCCTTCCATGCATTCTCATTTCCTCAAAACATGAAAAAGTGTTTCCTGTGTTGTTGTTGAGGCTACCATTCTCTTCGCTTTTGAAAGCAAGGTCATTGATGAAGACTGTATACATAATTACATTAGGCTTGACTAGAATGCATCAGCCATTTGATAGCAGCCCTCATTTTTTCTTTTATAAATCACATGATTCATTGATTAAAATGCCATAACTCAATCCTCTTGATATGATCTTGGTTATAAAATCAGCAGGCACTTTTGATCCGTTGACTGGATTCAATTCATTTTTTTATTTTTTTATTTTTTTATTTTTAAGTTCACTTTTATCTTTCTACATGAGTATTAAATTACAGCATGGGAGAGCTAATATCTGCAGTTTTTCCATGTTCTCAAGTACTATCGCAATGCAAATAAAGAGTGGTATATCTTCAGGTCTCTCTCAACACTGATAGATTGTTGATGGAGATGAACCTGAGGGGTAAAAATGTGATTCACGGCGCGATTGTATTTGAAGTCACTTTCAATCTGATTTTCAATACCTCCAGCAACTTATTTTTTTTAAAAAAAAATTTGTTGTTCATTGTGCCAATATACTTTAGTCAAACTTCACGTGACTTTAATATTTTACCGGACCGTGATGTCTTGGAGATTGCTTTACATCTTCCAGCTTCTTGTGACTTCTTGAAATATGCAAGGATCCATCAAAACCGGTGTTTAGTTTTTAATTCCTCTAATTTTTTTACAGTATTTTTAGTTTCTATAATTTTAAAAAAACTAGGTGACATTTGTTTTTTCAAATTCCTATAATTTTAGTTTTTTTTAACGTTTTTAGTCCTTAAACACTAGGAAAAATACTAGAGGAACTATAAACAAAATTCATTAAAACTATAAGAATCAATTATTATATTTTTCCTTAAAAAGATTACCTATAAAAAGAATACTAATAATTTAAATGTGGGAAATGAGCTAGCCCATTCCGAATAGGCTAAGCCCATTAGGGCCTAGATTGAAAGCCATATTCCTCTTATATCTATAACTTTTTATAACTAAGCTTGCATTATAATTATCTATAACTAAGTTTTAATTATCTATAATTTTGTTTTTTTTAAACTTTTTTAGTCCTTAAACACTAGGAAAAATACTAGAGGAACTATAAACAAAATTCATTAAAACTATAAGAATCAATTATTATATTTTTCCTTAAAAAGATTACCTATAAAAGGAATACTGATAATTTAAATGTGGAAAATGAGCTAGCCCATTCCGAATAGGCTAAGCCCATTAGGGCCTAGATTGAAAGTCATATTCCTCTTATATCTATAACTTTTTATAACTAAGCTTGCATTATAATTATCTCTTGCAGCGTAATGAATAAAAATTTAAATTTTCATTAAAAGAGTTAAAAAGATACCTACATTTAGGATCTAGCAATACTTCAAACAAAATTATTTCTAATAGAAAGATACACATGAGTAATTTCAAAAAGAAAAACCTAAAGTACACATCATATTTGGTTTTTTTTTTTTTTTTTGATAGCCAGGCTTGGTAGCCTGAAATTTCTGAATCTTCGATTGATAGGATATTCGCCTGAAACATAAATAAAATACGCTCTTAATGAGCCAAGACATCCCACCTCCTAAAACCTCAATCGATTTTAAATTTTTGAAAAACATTTACCAGTAATCTTGCATGAAAAATTGTAATTAACATTCTATCTTTGAGCATACATTTTTTCCTTTGGTCTTTCGAGTTTCATGCTGCTGAGGTCTTCGGCCAACAAGGTATCGTTTTAGTTACACATAAAACCGATGAAAGTTAGACTTTTCTCAAGTGCAACATTTTTTTAATAATCTGGAGTTTTAAAACTACTCATTTCTTTAAAAAATACCTTATGCGATGCTTTTACTCGAAATTATTAATGGTAGATAACAGATGGAGGAAACATTACAAACAACCCAACCGAGTCATTGGCCTTGAAAGGTCCAAATCTCATTTTTCTATATTAAACCATAGGATACAGGGCACCGTGTCCTAAAGCAGAATTAGATTTCTTGCTGTTCATAGTACACAGAGAACTTGTTACTACAATAAAATAAGCAAGTTACATAAAATGATGCCACCAAACCAGACAAAGCTAACACTAAAGATTAGGCAGTCATTACATGAAATTATCGCGGTGCAGCATAAGCTTGGGCCGAGTCATAAGCTTGGGGGTATGTAGGCTGAGGTGACACAGTCTTGCCGTATGCAGCGGTAGCAGTTGCTTGTGCAGCCCCATAAGCTGCTGTTTGTGGGTTAGACTGATCATATGCAGTCTGAGTAGGTGCTGGTTGAACATAGCCGGGCTGTGCTGCTGGCGCTGCACTATACGCCGGTGCAGGGGCACTGCTGTAACTGGCAGGATCTTGGGGTGCTTGGTAACCATAACCTGCATTGTTAGTAGCTGGCTGCTGTTCAGTGTAAGCTTGCTGTGAAGATGGATATGACACATATCCTCCAGTAGGAGCAACTTGGCCATAACCAGGTGCCTGCTGGGTTCCGGGTTGAACGTAACCAGGCTGACCACCTTGTTGGGCATAAACAGGGCCAGAAGCAGGTGGTGGGTGGCTGTAACCATCTGCAACTGGGGCAGACCCATAAGTAGGATATGATGCTTGTGATGGCCCAGTGGATGCATATGGATATGGCTGCTGTGCCGGCATATTTGTACCATACGATTGAGCAGGAGTAGAACTTTGATAAGGAATATCCCCTGGTTGAGTAGCCCTCGGAGGACCATATGATTGTGGAGGCTGTCCCTGTGCCGGCATGCCATATGATGGCGGTTTACCATACTGCTGGTGCACAGCAAAATTCGGTTGAGTGCCAGCCTGTGGGTAAGTTGGTTGAGAACCTACGTGTCCACCGTAGGGATGTTGGGCAGGAGCACGATTATCAAATCCATGTCCATAACCTTGTTGAGGATACCCTGATTGAGAATACGGCATCTGATTACCATAATCTGGGCCTTGTGGTTGTCCATAGTTGTAATTCGCCTGGGCAGAAGGTGGGCCCATAGAAGGTACAGGGGAAGGACCAGAACCATGTGGGGGTACAGAACCAGGATGTTGAGTTGGTGGCTGAGCATCTGATAAATGACCTTGTCCTCCATAGTAGTCATAACTGCCACTGTGTTGGGGTGGACCCTGAGCGCTAGGATGAGACCTTTGCTCCCAACCAGAGCCAAAATTAGCTCTTGGGGCCATATGTTGGGGATAATTTCCATACGGTGGAGGTGCATACTGTGGATTATGAGAATGATATGGTCCACGTTGCTGATTATCATAAGTTGTAGGATGGCCATAATGAGAACCTCGTTGACCCCACTGGGGTGCACCACCAGATCCTCGGGGTGGACGATAACCTTGCTGACTAAAACCTCCAGTTGATGGCCTGACAGGCTATTCAAGTAAAGCAAAAAATGGATATATTAGTTAATTGAATATGTTTCATAGTCAGAAAGGCACATGTAATTTAGAAGAGTGGAATTAAGAAAGATGCTAATTTAACAAAAGAAAACAACATGCTAAGACTATAAAATTCTAATCAATCCCGTGAAGAAAAATGAACGGACAAGGATTAATAAAGATCAACCCATTATATCCAATACTTTTGATTGGAAGGAAGGAAACAAATTTAGTAAGAAGCAATTCCAATAGGTTGTCCAGAGTGCACATAGACAGTAATACGAATAACTATCAAAATAAGAATAGTAGAATAATTGGGTATTAAAAAGGAAAAAGAATAATCAACTAAAGATTAACTGTGAAACTGACATGACATGCAACAATCTGTCAAAATGGCGCACCACCTATAGCATGTCATCCTCAGAGCAAAACCACATAAGCTAAACTAAACTCCAGATAGAACCTCACCGTGTTATATATATATATATATATATATATCTTATCACACAGAAAAAGATCTCACCTCTCAGCACAAGGGAAAAAAGGTAGAAGCCTGAAAATGCCCAGAGCAAAACTCAATTAAAGCATGTATAGGAGCTAAATCTCACCTCATCATCCACTGATATCAATTTCGTAAGAGCCTTCTATTAATTAATTTAAGAACAAGTAGCCACAGCTACCTGATCTTACCAGGAACCTCAATTTAACTACAGTGGTTAAACAAGATACTACTTTCTACCGTCCAAAATTGAAAGCAGTGGAAACGGAAAACAGGCTCTATCAGATTGATACATTAATAAGGAACCAATTCATGGATTGTGTCAAGATTGCTAAGGACCACTAAAAACGATTAAACCACAAAAGCTTGTCATTCTAAAATGAAGGTCCATAAATATCACAATGAGCAATGAAAATAATCCAACAATAACTATTACTCCATATTAGCTTCAATCAGAAGTTTCAAAACATTTATATTGCCATGTAAATTAACCAACATCATCAGCTAGGTTTGTTTGTTCACCGCAACTGTTACCAACTCTAAAGCCATGTAGATGCTACATCTTTCATCCTCAAATATCACAAAGCAAAACAATTATCAGAAGTAAGGCATGGAAATGGTAACATGATATAATTGCACTAATCCTATTCACATGGCGGCTAAAATACCAACTTCCCCCAACTTAATGCACACACCAAACGTCACTGACTGCTTATGCTTGCATTATTCAGCACAAATTCATAGAGAGATGCAAATGAATACAGCTCCGGCATAAATAAAGAATCATCATGTCACAGACTTCACCAGGTATGAAACTCTCTTCCACAATGCCTCATGCAAATAACAAAACGGCTCTATTTGATTACCAAGTCCAGTACAATATAGTTATACTGAATCATGATTTTTAATCTTCAAGTCTTGAAGCAATCTTACCAACCATTAACATCCTGCTATCCGAGGTTTTAATGCTTGCCACCTCTCTTCGGTGGATGAGAGTGGATATGTTGTTAATGCTACATCAAGAAAGCAATGCCGACCCCATGGAAAAGGCAATAGCCAAATCTGCATTTTTAAAGCCAACCAATGCGAAATTGGCACCTCAAGATAAATAAATCATTGCAACTGACATCTTGGTTTGCATATATGATCATCCTAGAAGAATTCAATTGACCTTGGCATTGATCACTGATCAATTTCCAAACTCCTATGAGGCACTGTTTTAGGTGTTCTATCTCACACTCCTATGGCAGCAATTGATACAATACTTCCATAAATTGATCATACAGGCATCACATCAATGTAACGGCTCCTTGCACAAATCATGCTATGACCTCAAATTGGGGCGGCTTTGGCAAAGATAATAGTGGAGAAGCATGAAACCCAAATACAAGAAGCATAATCATGGATTATCGTTTTCTCTAGACACCCAATTTTTCATTCATGAGAGATGCAGGATCATAGAAATTGAAATACAATAATAGCACAATCAATCACCACTATCTAAGTTTTTTATCAAGATTGGTTCAAAGATTTACATACACCTCATAATAAGAATGTCACTCAGCAAAATCAGGTGTAAAATCTTGTTACATTCCATCATACAGTTGCAAGGCAAGACATCTCAAGATAATATTTCCCGCAGCATCTTACCAAAATATTAAGTACAAACTGAGAATAACAAACACTTACAGGTAATGCATGATGGTACTGCGCAATAAAATCAACACAAGATATAAAGTGGTTTCCCAGTCCAAGAAGAGAAGAAATTCAATGCCATGTACATAATAAATATGGATCAGGGATGTGATAGAAGAAATAAAGAAAGCCACAAAGTCAACATAAGTTGCATGCATGTTCATCAGCCACAATCATCTTTAAGAATACGAGTTAACTCATCATTTCCCAACATTATATCAAAGGGCACAAGCCCAGAATATGTATCTGACACATTATAGATGAGTCGAGAATCATTACAAGTCATAAAAACTATAGCCAAAGCCTCTAAAATAATAATCAATAATCAGTACAGAAAATTTGTAGCCTTTTCAACATAAGCAACATAAAATCTGAAACGAACCTGACTCATGACTTCCTTTATCATTTCTCGTGCAATCTCAACTTGCCTCTTATCACCAGTAACTTGTACAGTCCTTTCTTTAGAATCATCCCCTTCCGCAAGATGTTGAGGTATCAACTGAATAATGAATATGAAAATCAGAATGCTTGAGCAACATAAAAATTTAAGAGGTGATTTGAGAAGAGGGTGAAAAGAGTCAAGTGAAAAATATATCATCCAGAGAGACAGAGAGAGTCTGTGCCCACAACTTTTGGACAAGTCCCATAAAGTACAAAACACCAAAGTGATACTCACTACTATTGAATAATATTAAAAAAAATTACATGAAATGTGTCAACTCTATAAAGAAAAAAACAACTTAAAAAATGCTTTAAGGCCCAAATGCTATGCCAAAAACTCAATTTATAAAATATGCCAAGAGATGAAAGGTAAGAATCAATTAAATGCACACTATCCAGTGTCATGCTGAGTAGCGTGGTGCATTTTTCAATTTATTCATGGATATGCCATTGTCCTTATAAAATAGCAACTATATAAAGATCAAGGATCTAATCAAACATATGAATAAAAATAACATATTATTGGATTTTGTTTAAATTATTTAGTATTCAATTAATAATTATAAATTAATTAAATAATTTAATTAATGACAAACAGTCATACACAATTGCCAATTTATCCATGTCTGACACAAATAATTTAAGCATGCCAAACATTTTGAGGAGCTCTAAAACAGGTCAAAACAAAAACATTTAAGAATGAATTACAAAGCTAAGAAACACCAACACAATGTTTTGAAACGCAATGAAAAGTGCAACAAAATCAATGAAGACTTGACAAATTGCAAAGTGAGGACATAAGCTACACAACATACAATGCTTAAATTTTTCATAGATTAACAGAGTTTTTAGCATTTTTTCAATACATCAAAACTAAAGGCTTGTTGTTGTTGTTGTTGTATCAAAACTAACATCTATTCATTTAAGAATACAAGCACACAATTATTAACATTCTATAAATTATAATTAATTACTAGTCATAATTAATAATAATTATGATTACTAATGTATTAAATCTATCTATATTTTATAGACGGTCCCAAGCCTGAATAAAGGAGGGGGTTAAACTCTCGACAATCAACATAAAACTTTGTCAAATCTAACTCGGATATGGACACCATCGTGCAATACATTTAATCCCCCAAATAATAGGATAAGTGTTATGATTTTATAATAATGACAATAATCAGTTATATTAGTTAGAGTTTTGTTTTAATGATTTAGAATGTACAATATACGTGTGGCTGTTAGCAGCCGTTAGGGGGGTATTCCTATCTCTATAAATACCCTACAGCTTAAGATGTAACTCTATGGATAATCAATAATATAACTCGTGTACTTTTTAGCCTACCCTCTCTTCTATCTCTTTAATCCTTCTCATTCCTCTGTGTTTCTGCTTTCTCTATTTTCTCTTTTTCTATTCTACCTTTTCTGTTCTTCCCTCTACTTCTCCCTGTTCCTTTCAATCTCTATATCAGAATTATACTGATATAACAATATGGCTGCTTGTTTATGATTAATAATTCACTAACCTGCCCTAACTATATGCCAAATTCCATGGACTATTGCTTAACTTTAAAACATAAATCAAACCATATCATGTGTTTAAATTCTTCATTTATAAGATAGATCTCTACTCCCAATAATTGATAAAATGTGATAAGTTCATGGGAATGAATTACTTCCAATATTTCATTACAAATTCAACATCTAACACTAGTGTCAATTTATAAGCTTCACCTTAAAGTTAAATGAAAAGGTCTAAATCTTATCCCAAGCTACAGGCCACCCAAAAAAATTTAGAGTATCAAACTTCACGGTGCACGATATCAACTACCTGAATACGTGCCCCAGATTTAGTCTGAAGGCCTTTAATGGTTTCTCCACCCCTCCCTATGATTAATCCAACCTGTGAAAAAAAGGTTTATGAGACTCAAGGTTTGAACATAGCTGAACACAACATCCATGAACAGAAACATATTCTCCACAACACATAATATCATTATAACCTTTTCATTCGGAACTTGTATCTGAATTTGTTCAGAGCCAACAGTAGCCTGTGCAGAGGAGAGGCCTCGAGCTACAAGTGCTGGAGACCCCCCAGCATCAGCCTGCATAAGTAATTAAAGGAAACAAGAAAACGTATCGACAAGTGAGAGAAAATTTCAAACAAGAAATAAAGACTAAAAGAAAACAAATGGCATCAACCTCTGCAATAACAGCATTTATTAGCTTTTCTGCCTTCTCAATACTATCCATACTTCCTATTAATTCCACAGGCCTTGTTGTAGAGGCGGGATCAGCATCAGCATCCCTTGTGATCTGAATCTTCGCCCCTGAATTATACTGAAGGTATCTTATGGTATCCCCAGCCTTGCCAATAAGAACGCCAACCTGCAAATGAATAGAATACATCCATCAACAAAATTTGCTGACCAAAATTACATGGACAGCCGAGGCCAATGACAGAATGAGTTTCAGTGCAGATGAAGGGCTTACATATGACTGCATGGCCAATAAGATGTCATTTATAGTTAAAAGTTGCCCAGGAAGCTAAACTATGGCAGATATTCCAGCAAAAAGGTTAATTAAATAAGGGATAATTGAGAAGCCTGGACTGTCATTGTTCATCAAAAAGATGAACCTACAAGTGAAAACCTGCCCTGTAACCCAATGGTAAATGATGCATGAAAGACAAACCAGGCTTTTGCCCAGTCAGTTTCAATCAGAGTCCCAAAAAATTAAGTTTGCCAATGATCCAGCCATGCATGGCCCAGTCACCAAATAGGCCAAGTGATGGGAAGAAATAGAAAAAGAAATAATTAAAGATATTATAAGGGATATTGCAAATTTGAAGATCGAAAATATTTTGCTCTCATATTAATTATGAATATTTTGTTTTAATTTGAATTATTATTACCTTTCAACATTTATTATTATCTTTTCAGTTATTGTTATCTTTTTATTTAATTTTAGAATGTCTATGATTTTCATGCATTTATTTCTAAGGGGTTGGGTTGAGACCTATAAATAACACCTCAACTCATTTGATTTGTACGCACATTTGATTTTTATCTTGCCTCTCCTCTGAGTTTTCTCTTCTCTCTATTCTCTCTATTGATCCCTTTATTTCTTTTCTATATTCTCTCCCCCTTCTCCTTCCCCATTCTGCATCACCAAGTTTGGCAAGTGTATATGACTACTCATCTGTTGACTACTAGACCATTTTGGGTACAAGACCACTTCCTTTGATGCACCTTCACAAGACATGCAATGAAAATGAAATAATTGAGTGCAGCCTCCAGAGGAGAAAACAAGATGAAACACAACTACAAAGTGACAAAATTAGCTACTTTGAGGTATATAAACTGACTAGGTTATATTTTATTTTGAGTGATATACAAATTGGAACACAATCTGAAAAAAAAAAACAAAAATTTGAGTTTTGGCTTTTAACTTTCTATCTTGTAATTTATGTGCCAATCATACTTTAGAAAGAGTGCTAGCAAGGACCTTGATTCCCTAATCATATTTCTCCAGAAAACTTTCTATCTTGTTTTCTGGCTAAGATTACAAAATGACCTCCAAGAAGCCTTTCTTTTATCCTGCTCCTTCTTTAATTTTATATTTCCAAGCTGAGATGGGCCATAAAACCAAACTCCCGACCAAGCTTGTTAAATTCTTCTTTATTTTTTAACATAACCTAACAAAGCCAACTTGGTCAGGCTAGTTGAGCCTGTGAACACTCCTAACAATAGTGGACAAACTGAGAACTTCAGTAGGCCAAAGAAGAACTGGAAAAGGAAGCATAGAGATCTGAGACTGAAGCTGATTGTGGTGAAGCATGATTCTCGCCATCTATTGTATCCAGAATGAAAGTGAATCTAAAGGCCCACCAAATGCAAATATCTCCACAACCAAATACAGCAAATCAAGTGAAGGAATTTAAACCTATATTACCTTTATCATATAACATTAAGGGACTAAGGCAGATTCAAGGTATTCTACATTAATACTGATAATACTTTTAGCAAGTAGAGTTGGCACTCGCTAAAACAATGACCCAGAATATCCAAAATAAAGAACAAAAAATATAGTTATTGTGTTTTCAAAGTGCTTTTGATATACAAAAGAAACATTAAAACCCTCTATTAGGTAATCAAATTACTTTTATGCCTTAATACCAGCTAATAGCATACATATGGAAGTAAATAAATAAATACATCAGACAGGAAAATAATTGAAAAAGAAAAAGAAAAAGAAAATATGAAGACTGAAATTTGTTTAAATTAGCTTTCAGGTTGCTTGACACTTAATATTTTCATGTAAAACTTGAGAATAGCTACAATGAAAAGCCTACTGAAGTTACAAAACAAAGCTTATCAGAGGTTGCAGTATTTAACTGAAAAGCCCTAAGCTTTTTCTCAATAAAGCCCATTATTCACCCCATTCTAAGCTTCCCTAACCAGCTTTAGAGCATCATTAAGTGCAGGACACAACATATAACTTTCTTCTTCACTCCTTCAAATTTGTCTTGCCCTAGGGCCAATAAGGGAAAAAGATCTCAAACTAGTGCAATTTCTTTTCCCAACCCAGGAAGAAACACTGGAAGTTTTAAAATATCTTATACCACCATCTTTGGTTGGGTAAGAAATAAAAATCTGATCTGAGCTCAGATCTACGAGCCATGTTGGGGGGAAAAAATTGGCCCCTTGATACCTCCAACACATTTGTTAAAACTTCATGACCGGTTATAAAGAGTTAACAAGAAAAAACAAATAATAACAGAACAGGGATATGCATCCAGTGAAAAAAAGTTCACAAGGGAAAAATGACCAAGTTGTTTACTGACACCGATAATAATAATCTAACATACTTCAGGCCAGTGATATAAAGCTTACAGATGTTATAAATTTCACAGACCTTATTGTTAGGAACCTTAATTTTAAGTGTTGTGATCTCAGCTGCAGATGTTGGTTGCTCTTGTCCCCAAGAAGCATTTTGCTGAAAACAAGTACAATAAATTTCAGATAAGAAAAAGATAACAAGATTTTTCACGCAAATTACAATAAATCAGATTAAAGTTGACAAGCCAAAAAAACATAACATTTACAATTAAACACATTTTAGAATTGGAGAGACAAAAAACTCAACTTTCAGCACCTTATTGTGGGGAACCTCCACATTATTATGCTCAATGTAAACAGATTCAGATTGCTCTGCAGAAGAAACATTATGCTCAGTTGACTCTACAGAGGGCTTTTGAGTTTCTTTAGATGGTTCCTCAGCACACTCTCGTCCAGAGTCCCCAACAGGTGATTCTTTGACAACAGGATTTTCAGGAACTCTACTAGAGTTTTGTTCGTCAGGGGCTGACTCTGCATGCTCGTTGGATGGAAGATGACCATCCTGCGAAGGAGAATCCTCAAGAGCATTTTCTTTCTCATTTTCATTTACAGGTTCACCAACCTGCTCATCTTCGTACCCATTTTTACTAGCTATTGACACCAAAAACATATCATCAGCAACACAATTTCTTGCAACAAAATGATAATCTACATTATTTCTATAAAACACAGAAAGAAAAGGAATTTTCATTTGATTCACTTAACGGAATGTGCACAGGACATAAGATTTTACTTAATACCCATGTACCCTCTCATTAAAATAAGGGTTCATAGCCTCTTTGTCATATTAAAATTTGTTCAAGTGAAGAACATTGGATCTTTTTCCCCCTCCCACCATTAGAACAACAGTAAGAGTTATTAATTGATAGATCAACTGGTTATACCTAGTCCATCGAGCTCCTCCTCGATTCGGGGACGTTTCTTCTCACCCTCGTCGGAAGGGGAAACTGTTGCATCGTCCTTTCCACCATCATCGGGCTCCGAGATCGAATTTGCATTCGATTCATGTTGCTGTAGTTGCTCGGAGAGTTGTTGTTGGGGAGCTTCAGGCTCCAAATCTTCAAACTTGCGCTTGAGATCAGAGAGAACAGGGCTCGCATCAGCTGTCACAACTTGCTCCTCCGCCATGGGAACGAGATTCAGTCAAGATTAGCAACACTGCGTGTCTCTTCCTATCTTTCTATATCCCGAAGCGAAGCGCGGGAGTAAGGGATAGGCGAAGAGAAGCAAACAAAAGTGGAAGGAATGATTGTGTGTGTGTAGCCGCGAGTCCGCGACACAATAAAGATTCCAAGAAAACAGATATTTCTGAGTCTGGTTTAGATTTTAGGGTTACACGAGCACTTTTTGCGGGCATGACTGAATAGTGACCCAATGGGCCTATCGATGAGTCCATGAGAAATTTACATTTTAGGAAAAACTTGCGTTTTTTTTTTTTTCTAACCAACGAAAAAAATGTTAGAAGATGGGTTTGAATTTGAACAACCAATTTCATTCAAGTAAATAGTAGAAATTGAACAACCAATTAATTATTGAAAGAATGACATTTAAATTTCAAAGGAATTATTTTATTTAAATAAAGTCTCAATAAATTTTAAAATGTAGAGCAATTTATAGCTCCCACATTATTTGATTTTCAATCTTTCCCTAGAAGCTCATTTAAAAAGTCCATTCCAAATGTTGTTAAATGTGCTTTTCACCAAGGTAGAATTTTTGAACTTTTAAAACTTGCATCCTAAAAGCATATTCAATTAAAGTGCACAACTCAATTAGAAATCTAAATTGACTTTTAAAAAATACATGTAAACACAAATTTCTTTTTAATAACTAGCTTATGTTAAATTGATTTTTGCCAAATGAATTTTTGACAAACTGACTTTTGGCTAATAAAAAAATAAACAAGCAAATCATATAAACTTTTAGTATTAAACTATTTATATAACTTTTTTCCAATATATCAAACTTATAGTTTTTTCATTTTTATTATTTAACATATCAAATTGTATGTTATTTAAAATTTTTATCACATACATTTTAGGGAAAATGACAAAAATCCTCCTAAAATATGCAAATGAAGCTAAGGTCTTAAGAAATGCCATAATTCTTCTCAAATCATTAGGAACCTTTCTAGCATTAAAATTTTTTGGTGAAATGACTAAAATTCTCCCAATTTAAACAAAACTAGTAATTAATTGTTCTGTTTCAGTCATTACCAAAAGAAAAATAGACATTGCTTAAACTCAAGTGGTCATGAATATTTACAACACTTGAACTTTATTTAATCACAAATTTGCATAGAGAAAGTTGTAATTATTTATTTCATTTTAGTCATTGATAGAAGAAAAATAGTCATTGCTTAAATTAAAGTAGTCATAAATATTTAAAACACTTGGATTTCAATAAATCAAAAATTTGAACAAGAAATGTTGTAATTGCTTTTTTCATTCTTATCATTATTAGAAGAAAAATAGTCATTATTTAAATTAAATTATTCACTAATATTTACTATTTTTAAAAAGCTAGAGCTATTACTTTTTTTATTTTTAAACTAGGATATTTTAGTTATGTCACTAAAAAATCATTAATATCAGAAAGGTCCCTAATGACTTAAGAAGAACTATGACATTTTCTAGGACCTTAGTGTCATTTACATATTTCAAGGGAATTTTTCTATTATTTTCCCAATATTTCAAACATTTTCAATATATTGTATTTGTATAACAAAAATTACATGGAGAATTCCCTCTCTCTAGCTTCTTGCTTTTGAAATCCTAGCCGCAACCATCACTCTCAATATCGTCTCCTTCACCGGCCTTTACTCTTGCCATCACCATCCTCCATACTCACTACCTTATTGATAGTCAATGCCTTGGATCTGTTTCAAGAGTCCCTGTTCTTCTTTTTTCCTATTGCTGCCACACTCACTGCCTTGCTAATATTTCAACCTTGATTTTATCATGTCTACTCCTTCTAATAGTTGGTTTTGTAATCAAGATTGGTGTGCTCATCACTATGCTTTTGCAAAAGTTCATGACAATAAGAGGTTTCACCCCTCTAAGCTTCAAGCTTACATATCTCAATTTTGGAAATTTAGAGGCCAAATTCAAATCAATCAGTTTTATCACAATTACTTTTTACTTTCTTCAATTGTTCGTACAATCTATACTTCATGTTAGGTGGTGGACTAACTCCTAAAATGAAAATGCCCTAAGAGGGGGATGAATTGGGCTAATTAAAAAATTTAAATGATTTGCAGTAATAATAAGAGTAATGAAGGAACGAAATCACCAATCACAAAAGTTAACAAAGTAGAGCTTGACATGAGTGATTTATCCTAATTTGACTCCTACTACATGAGTTTATGTCCAGTCCCTAATAACCTCCTGAGATTTCCAACTATATTGCTAAGATTAATCTGGGCTCTTGGTTGTCTTAGTACATCAATAGATTTCACAATAAGTTTAAAACTTTTCCCCTTACAAAGGTAATAATAAATCCATTTAAGCTCCCTGAGCTTAAATTCCTCAGTTTTGAAGATGTAAAACAGGTATAAATAGAGTAAATTTAAGAATGAACTACTACTACTTTTAAACTCTCTCTAAAAGTATATATATAATCAATAAAGCTCTCTAACAATAAATGATATATAGAAGGTAGGTAAACTTTAATGCTCAAGTAATCACAAAATCTTCTTGTTGGCTCACGTTGTTCATGCTTCTTTAGGTTTTATAAATGAGTCCATTTATAATTAAAGATTATAAATGATCTGTTAGACTCATAAATTTTTCTGTTGAAGATTGCTTATAAACTGATTACTTCTTTCCTCATGTTTCATTAGATATCAGAGCTTATATGAGGTTCTCCAATGGATAAGACAATGAAACAGTGCTTTACTCCACAGACTTCCTCTTTTGTACAGTAACGACTAAAAATATTAAATGCTTCTAACAAAAGTTGTTAAAATTTATACATTTTGGTATAACAGAAGGCAAACTCGGTGAATCAATGAAAGATAAGCAAATTGAACAACTTCAAGGAAATAATTGTGTTTAAATACCATTTAGTAAAGATATAGAGTGAACATAATTGATTCCAGATGAAAAGAAAGATTGAAGGATGAGTTTTAGTGAGATTCAGAATTGACATGAAAATAGAGCATGAAAATGCAAGGTAGTACTATTGTTATAATGTCCTACCTCTTGTGTTACTGTGATGAGCAGACTTTGATTGAAGAGCTTAGCATAGGTGTTGTTCTAATAATACTGTGCAATTCATCATTGTAAAAGATGAAGATTTTTGACAATTTTGAGAGAATAAGGATATTTTGAAAATATAACTCAACACCAATGTTAAAAGAAAATAACACTGAAATAATATGATCAATCAAACATCTTTGTAAGAGAATAGAAGAAACAGTATCGATGCTACACAATTAGCACTAGTGTTATAGATAATTATTCAAGGAATAGTACAAGTGCTAATAAAGAACACAGATGTTGTCTTAACTCAAACAAGGATATAGAATGAACAAGACTGATGTTAAATACATAGTACTAGTGCAAAGAAAAAAATTCAAAGTAGAGAGTGTCAATTGCACAGGTTTAAAGGGATAACACTGGTGTTAGAAAAAGTAAAACCAATGTTATATGAAACACAAACCAATAAAGTAGTGAAAATAATTCAAGTAGCACCAAGCTTTTAGTACCAGTGCTAAGAACACTTAGAAACAATTTAGACTAAGACAACATCAAGCACATAGATTATACTTAACTCAAATACTTAACTAACAAAGAGATATATGGATAAAAGAACTTTTGTTACATATAAGCTTACATTTAGCTAGTTTTAGATTAATATTAAGCCAATTAACTTAAGTTTAAGTTAAATATCCTGAAACGCACAAAATTTCTCTTTATTTTATAATCATCAAAATCAAAGTTCAACATGTAATAGAATTTAAGGAATTATTGCTTATAAATAGTAGGCATGTACCAAGTCATTGTGAGTTTGGTTAAGTGAATAAGAATTCCTACTTATTTTCAAATTGTTTGAACTAGTTAAACATTCATTAATTTGACTTGCAATACACATATATAGTTGATGAATCATATGTTTTACACAATTTTATTTTACATTTTTGACTATATTTCATTGGTTTAAACCCTTATATGCATGGTTTTGGATTTGATTTGATCATTATCTCATATCCATTGAGTTTTGGCACTAGGGACATTTTGATTATTTTGTACATTTTATTACTTGGGCAATTTTTATTCTCATTTTTAAGACTTTATTTGTTCATTTTTATTAGATTGATCTAGTTTGGTTTGCTTTGTGTTTTTAAGGATTATGGGGTAATTTGTCATTCTACTTTTTATTTTAAATCATATTTAGCACTTCAGAAAGGAAGAGACGCAAGACAAAGAAAAAAAAAGAAAAACAGAGAATTGAAGCGAGGAAGCGAACAAACTCACGAGGTTTGCACACTATTGCTGTTTTGGTGCAAGTTTAGAGAGGTTTGTGAGGAGGATCGCTTACTCTTACAATTTTTCAGTTCTCTTCCATCACTGCATACACATGGACTTCATGCAAATACGATCATGCATCTTCCTTTGGGTTCAGAGTTTATCACACACCAACACAGATTCTCTCACCACCGACCATACACATATTGATCACAAATCATCCTCTCAGTTTAGCTTGTCACACACTCAAATGCTTAGCTCTCTCTCAATTTTCATTCCCGTCGCTTGTTTAATTAGATTGCAAGCTTATTCATTCACATATTCCTTCAAGCATACAGCCATGGCAGCTTCTTGTGGACATCTTTTTCAATTAGTTGTTAAAGAGATTGAAATGAGAACTGAATTCCTGTAGAGTTCTTCAAGAGAGATGAGATCTTCACTTGAGTTTTTTTAGTCCAATTCATTTCAATTTTGCTATAACTCACTTTTGATTGCTCTAATTTTCTTATTGCTTTCAACTTGTTGATTCAATTCTAGTTAGGTTGAATTCTCTTGTTGATTTTATTTCTTTAAAAGAATTAAATGCTAAGAATTGACTCTTTAATTGGATGATACACACTATATGTTTGAATTTATGCTTCAATGTTTATTGTTAGGTAAATGCCAATTTATTCAATCCTTGTGATGATGTCTAAACTATTTAGCTTATGTTTAGGTTTTGAATTGAAGTTAATTGCATAATTCTTGATTGGCTCTAAGTGTTAGAACATGTCAAGGCAAGGCAAGTTCTAATTCTAAAATCAAGTCATTGTTTGGCA